CAATACTAATATTTTTTTTTATTTTAATTGTAATTTTTATTTTGTAATAAAGTTTGGTTGCTGTTGCCTATAATTCTCTTTTAGTTTTATTTTTTCTTTATGTTTTTTTAATTAATTGCATTGCGTTAATTTTCAGTGCGCCGACGACAATACCACTAAACAGCTGCTGCTGAAATGCCGCATGATCCACCAAAACGTAACCAGCTAAACACATCAGCTAAAAAATAAAACACCAACAACATACGTAACCTTCCGAACGCATTTACTTTAACCCACATACATATATTCCTACATACATATATGTTTGTATAATGCCCGAGCGAAGGGCAGCAACGACCATACATCCAATGGATGCAGAACGTTTACTCGGCATTTTTCTAGCGCTCATCGTGCTCTCACCCTTTGCCGGCGCTTGCTCGAGTCGTGCCATACAGAAACCAGCCGCGTCGCCACCGCCCTTACCAACGGCCGCACCATCCGAAGCTACGGCATCGACTACACCGCGCCCAAACATCACATTCCCCATCTATAGCTGTCCGCCTACATATGCCGCTTGGTATTGCCTAAATGATGCCACATGCTTTACGGTTGAAATTCACAATGAAATACTTTACAATTGTGAGTGTGCCACCGGTTTTATGGGACCGCGTTGTGAGTACAAAGAGATCGATGGCTCATATTTGCCGACACGTCAACGTGCTATGCTCGAGACGGCCAGCATTGCGAGTGGTGCCACATTAGCGCTGCTCGTTGTGGTCATACTGTGTCTAATGTGGTATATACGCTATGATAAGCAACGGCAAAAGTTGAATGAGAGCGCCGAGGCGGCACACGACAATGAGGGTCTCGACCAAGTGGACGGTATGACGCGTCTGCCTATGCGTCGACCATTCGGTGAACATCACTACAAAACTTTACCGCTAGCTGCAGCCTTTAAGCGTTAATTTAGCTACCTACATACAGATTTAGAGAGATACTGAGAACCATAGTTGACTAGAGTCTACTGGATAGTCCGCTAGCATATATTTATGGATGTGCAGCTAACATACAACTGGCAACTAAACGATATATGCGGAAATTGATTAACAGTTTACAACGCTAACGGCTAATAGAATTACTAAGCATAATGAGCACATGTTGGAAGAGAAGTGAAGTACAGAAAAGACAAAGAAATATGTTAAAAGTTATGCTTTTGCACTTTAATGCCATTAATTCACAACAGTTTTGTTTACAAAAAAATTGTATAACCAAAAAGCGTTGGACAATTTCAAACTCTTTGGAGTTTTTTATGTAATTTTATTTTTTTATTGTTTGTTTATTAAAAACGTGCATAAGAATATGAAACGCTCTAAAACTAATTTGTATATTTTGAAATCGCTAAAGTTGTAATTTTACCGTTAAACACACAAAAAATTGTGTCATAAAGCCGAATGAAAACATTTTATATATTTTTTGTTTCTCAATTATGAATAATTACGTTTGCATTCGGCAACTTTTAGGCGCATTTCAAATATTTTTTCATTTGCTTTTAATTACAGACATTTAAATCGTGCCTTTTTATAAAATCGCACACGTTTTTACGTGAATTTGCATTCCATTTGCAAATACTTCAAAAGTATGCATTTGGTATTGCAATAAGTGACCTTGAGACATTATAAACAATTGCATAAAATTTCCAAATCCACAGAGGCAGCAGTTGTCCAAATAACGCTAAAAAATTAATCTTACATATACTAAGTTGAAAATGTCTCACACACACCAGTGTACGCGCGTTTTTTATGCGCCAAAAATTGCCTTATTAACGTTTAAACAAAACGCCGAAAATGAAAAACCCGGCTAACTAAAAAGCAACTAACTGACGCGCATTGCTACAATTAAGCTATTGTTTTTTGCAAAATGCAAGAGTTTTCCTTTTTAAATATTTATACAACGATTATTATTTATTATTACACCCACTGACGTTATTACACAAAAAAGTATTAAAATATAATAAATATCGTCTTAAGTAAACAGAAACACATTGTTGTTTTTATTTTATAAATAAAATGAAAGTGCGTGTTTGTATGACATTTCTGCTATTAATATGCATATACCGTTAAATTACCATTAATTACAATACTTCACGTAACTCACTACGAAATTTCACTTACAGTTTCAACGACACTACGCCAACGTCCACTTGACGCACGCAACCGAGATGGGCAACATGTCGGATAATCAACAGACGGCAGCGGCTGCGTCGCAAGTAGAGGAGCTGGGTCCGCCAAAGGCCGACTTTAGTGCACCGCCACCCTATGAGCTCGTCAATAATAATGTTGGTGGCATGCCACAGCAGCAGCAGCAGCCAAATGCAACAATTCAGCTACAACAACAACAGCAGCTACCACCACCGTATCTACAGGTGTCGCTGCCACCGTTAGACTCATCGTTGGCACAACCACCGCCACCACCACCACCACCAGGTGGCGTTCTAATGTCTGGCGATATGCCAAAAATGCAATCGGACGTCAAATTGCCCTCATATGAAGAAGTGCAACGGCAGAAGTCAGCAAATGGTGAATTGCCATTCATGAATTCACACGTGTTGCCACCGCATTTACGTGACAGCAATACGCCGTCTAATGGTGGCGGCAATAACAACAATTCGAATGGCACAGCGCCAGCTCTAACATTTATCGCTATCGATGCGTCGGATGCTGAGAATTTGACCAGCAACAATGACAACAGTGTGCTCGGCACCGATGCCATGTTCATATTGGCCTTCATGGTGGCATTCCTCTTCAATTGGATTGGATTTTTGATGCTCACCTGCTTTTGTCAGACGATTGCTGCACGCTACGGTGCATTGTCCGGCTTCGGTTTGTCGCTGGCCAAGTGGACGCTCATTGTTAAGAATTCCACGGAGTTGGCATCGCATGAAAATTCTTGGCTATGGTGGTTAACCATGGCATTTGGCTTTTTGATTTGTATACGCGCATTCCTACAGTATATATCGATTAAGCGCACTTGGCGATTGCTTAGCACATCGGCGCAAGAGCGTTTGCTATTTTTCTACTAGTGGAGCGCGGTGTGCGTGTTGTTGATACAGTGGTGCTTAGTTGCCACATAGTGCAAGCACACAAACAGCTTTTATATAATATATATACATATATTAATTTTTTTAAACATATTTTCATTTAGCTTGCTTTAGTTAGTTTGCCTCACCATTGGTATTAGAATTAGAGCACTCGAGGTACTTAAACGCGATGCCATTTTTTTTTTTTAATTTTTTTGTAATCCAAGCAATTACATACATATGTAGCTGAATTTTAAAATTGTAGTGTGTATTTTATATGATATGTGTATATGTTTCAAAAACCGAATACGAATGTATATTTCCGAGCATAATTAAGCATACTTGTTATTTTTACTATTATCTATGTGAATGTGTATTGTGAGCGCAGATGTACATATGTATATGCATTGTGCGTTTATTTCAAATATATTGGAATTAAATAACAGTTGTTTACTTTATTTCCATAACATTTATTGTTGTAGTTCGACAAAACATACACTTTCACGAAATTATTGTGAATAGGACAAGTTTAGTGATACAAAACAGCATGTACATAACTAAGGTGAAAGTGAAATTAATGAATTTGCATAAAAATGAATTATCTGTACTTATTGGTGCTAATTAGGCGACATACATTTGCATATACATAATTAAATCGTCATTACATAAAAGTAATTTTTGTGCGCGCCATGTTGACTTGCCACACGTTCAGCTCCTCGTAGTCCTCAATGCACTTGTCTACCTGATCCGGTTTGAAGCCTTTCGTTGTGCAGCGATCGATAACATCAGCGATTTTAACGGTATTACTTGAACCGGCCAATTCACGCACAACAGCGAATATCTTGTCCGATGTATTGGGCACACTAAAAAAAAAAAAAATACAAGAAAAAAATAACTTATTGTTCAAATCAGACTTAATATGCTATACTTACTGTCCCTTTTGGTGCTCGTGCAGCTGGTTCAATGAATCCTTAGACATTTCCAAAAGTCGTAGCGCTTCGGCAACATCATCCTTCTCAACCTTGTCCGACAGACGCAGACGTGCGAGTGCTGTGGATAAACGCAGGATACCCAAGAGATTGCGTGCCGATGTAAAGGTCATGTCTTTTTGATTGCGCGCTTCACGACGCAACTCCACATAAGCGCCCACAATGTATTCGGTTAATTCGTCAGGTATTGTGGGGTTCTTACGTTTGCATAGATTAATGTAACGACGCATAAGGTTCATGTCGAGCGCTTTGATGCGAGTCGGTGGCTGCTTGTTGTGGCTATGCACGTAAGTGATGTGTTTGGCCAGGCGCAAATCATTGTCGCGATCTGGTTTATCTTGCATAAGCCAAAGTAGATCGAAACGTGACAAAAGCGCGGCTGGCAATTGAATGTTTTGTTCAACAGTACGACGTGGGTTATAACGACCGAAAGCCGGATTTGCGGCAGCCAATATGGAGACGCGTGCATTTAGGGTGGTCATGATACCCGCTTTCGCTATGGATATTGTCTGTTGCTCCATAACTTCGTGTATAGCGGTGCGATCATGTTCGGCCATTTTGTCGAACTCGTCAATGCAGCAAACCCCTTGATCGGCAAGTACTAGTGCGCCACCCTCCAAGATCATTTCGCCCGTTAGCGGATCTTTCATGACGGCGGCTGTCAAACCGACACCGGATGAACCACGACCGGTTGTATACTGCGAGCGTATCGCTAAACGACTTATGTAACTGAGTAGTTGAGATTTGGCTACACCAGGATCGCCCATCAGACAGATATTTATATTGCCACGAATACGCATACCGTCGGGACGCTTATCTACGCCACCAACTAAAAGCAACAGCAGCGCTTTCTTTACATCCAAGTGTCCATAAATTTCAGGGGCCAAACTAGTGGCGAGACGCTCATAGAAATCATCTTGAGCCAACTCTTGCAGTTCTTCAGCGGTGAGCTCGGCTTCTTGGTCACTGGCTTGGTCATTTTTATTAATGCAAACAATGCGCTACAATTAGAAATAATTATAAAATATAAACAACGAATATATACATGTATATTAAAAAAGTATCTACGTACATATGCATGCAGGAATGTTTCCGATAGCAAGCCCTGAATAATTTGTCGGAATCCGGAACGTATCAATGGCAGAAAAACGCCAGATATCAACACATGGTCACCAGGCTGTGCCATGCGTGTCACTTCACCACGACACATAATGGTCATGGTGCGTGGTATATGTCCCACGGGCACCTGATCACTATGCTCCTGTATTTTGATTTCTTGAAATTTAACGAATTTGGAGCCACGCGTTTGTAAGTACAGTCGACCGCCCGCTTTGTTAATGCGACAATCATCTGAGGGGCAATCTTGCACCGGTATAAATGTTAGCGAATTTACTGGCTGATACGTTTCAGAACCACAACGATCGCAAGTGTACGTAGCCACAACCATCATCGGCTTAACTTCGGTGCAACGCGTCACAATACCACGTACCGTTACCAATTTTCCGATATGTTCTGCTTTGATTTCACGTATGGACTTGGCCTTTTCATTGGAGTGCGGTTTGAAGGCCACTTCACTAATAACGCAATAAAGCAAAGCAATTATGTAAATAAAGTTGTTAAAAAAAATAAATAAAACATTAAATATTGCAACGCTCGCTTACAATCGCTTCATCAACTCGGGTGGGAAGTTGTTACGCTGATCATGTTGTTCCATAGGATTGCGCGAGCGCGATTCCATCAACAAACGATGCTCAATGTACACATCTAAAGCGTCTTTGGCGGCCACTTCACGTTCCTTAAAGGTCGGCAACAATTCTGCAATGGCGTCGCTGAATATGCTCGCATAGCGTCTGCTGTTATTAATGATAGCCTCGGCCAGTTCTTCATTAAATTCAGACACATGATCGAGATCTATTGTGAGCAGTATCTGTTCGCGATGAGCAATCTTCACAAGTTGATTGGCGTAAACGAACTGTTTTTTGCCGTTATCATCCTCCTTGCAAAATTCAGACAAAAATGTCTTCACGCTTTCTGTAAATTTGTTTATATTAAGTAATCTTTTAGGTAAAATTATATGCTGCATTAGACTTGCCTTTATCTTGTACGTAGTCCCGTTTCGGCATTTCTTTATTTTAAGCAAATATCTTCGCACAATGTAAAAACAAACAACTCAATTAAAAAACACGGTACAAACTGAGACGTAAATGCACTTTCCGCCAGCTGCAAAACACACTTCTTGACATTTGCATTTGTTTATTTGGCGCCAAAAACTACATGCGTGCATATGCAGAGAACGTATTATTATTATACGTTCTCTGAATGTCACTAGACACGCGCGACATCTATGTGTTGGGTCCGTTATTTTGCTCAGTGTTGCATTTGTTTATTCTGAAAATAAGAAAGAAATTACACTTTTGATTCATCATTCGGACTTCCGGTAATTAACTGAGACCCAAACGTAACAGTATTTTCATTAAAATATTCATACAAAATATTATGTTAAACACAATACTGAAAAGTAAGCATGGTTTTTATTAACAAACATAATAATTTCGAATATTTTCATGTGTTAAACTGTTATAAAAAAAAACAACCGTGCATTTATAATGGGGTACCTAAGTATGACAGCAGTGCATTTACGTAAACACGTCTACAATTATTAAAACGTTTGACGGGTGCGCTTACGAATTGCACAAATAAATTTAAATTAGAGCGGTTTCAAAAAAAAAAAAAAAAACAAAAAACATAAGCTCTTTCAATAATTCGATGTGTTCACTTGCTACAAGTTCATTTCAAAATCATATATATGTACATACCGGGACGGCTACATATTTATATCCGGTTTATCGTAGAAATATGATAGGATGTTTATTTTATATCGCTGCAACAAGTACAACAAAAATTTCTGCGCCTTAACATCATTGACCGAGTTGTTACAGATTAAATGACTCGCTTTGCGAATTGAAAGCCATTTCGTATCGATATCAAAATTAGAGAGACAAAAAAACACAATTTTGACTCAATTGATTGAAGGCAGTTAATAGGAAGGAGGTAAATGGGGAGGTAAGTAAGATGTTAAGACTTTTAATTTGTATTTAAACTAATATTTACTAATATTTTATAAGAATAATATCCTTGGTGCAATGAACAGCAAATCTGTTGAACCTATTCGATGTAAAAAGTTCCGTTTAATTCAATATGCAACTTTGAAAAGTGAAATGATATCTTCACAATATTTATCAATCAATATTTTCCAAAGCAACGGTACAATTTCCCAATAAATTGTTCTGATCACAACTCTTTGTAGCTGCCAGACAAACTGAACTATCAAAATGAAATTATTGCAGGACATTTTTTTTACGAGTATTTCCAACCAATGTTGACTTTTTTTCCTCTTTCAGAATTTCGTTGAACGAAACTAATTTTGTGCTCATTTTCCTTGCTTTTTAGAGATATTCTAACTTATCTTAAACTGCTGACCTTAAAAATTTAGAATCCACTGCAAAACTCGTCATAAAATACAAAATCATAGAATTAATTGTTGTTTGGTTTAAAATATATTTTATTGTTTGTAGTACATTTTACTAAAACTTCGTACATACAATCTTAAAGAAAAAATAGAAATTATATTTTGAATAATTATTAATTGAAACTGAGTCCTTATGCCAAAAATTATTTTTATAACATAGTTTTAGGCGTAGTACCTTTACGGCACAAAACTACCAACATATCTTTTCCTCTACATATTTGTGCCGGTATTTTACATATTCATGTATTTATATGCTGTTGTTTATTCCTTTTTTAATCATCTTTTCGATAATCTACAGTTAAACATTGAGTTTATGCGCATAATATCTATGTACCATATATTGTAGAGTTCTTTTTAATGTTTTGCTTGCTTTTTCTGAATCTTTTCCTATTAATTTTATATAATTACAATTTGCTTATTTATATTACATAAATATTTGTATGTATGTACTAGTGTTTATGTGTAAAAAGAAAAAGTTATTAATCACATCACATTCAAAGTTAGTAAAATAGTGCGCTTTTTGGTAAATTTGTAGAATAAATTTAAATGTGTTTTAGACTACAAAAAGTAAAATGACTTAGCAAAGGTCGGTCCTATCCGGCGTATGATATTTGAAATGTCGAATTTTATACTCAAATCACTGATTGCTCTCTTATTAAACTAAATATTCATATAATACGAGCAAACTCCAAACCTTGAAAGAGAGCTAAGAAAAAGTTTCGTTGAAAACACCTCTTTGTTCAGCAAATTTAGCAGAGTTATTAAGTGAAGAGTTATATGCTGTTTAGCTGTCCAGTTCTGTGTTTTATACCATTTATTATTTGAAAAAAATATCGGCCAAACGGTGACGTCCCCGTTTGCATATCTCCATGCGTTTGTGTCAATTTCCATAATCCGGTGCAGCAATTCAGCTGGAATTTCGGCTATAGTTCGCTGATTGTTGTCTTCGAGCTTCTAGAGCGTTGCTGGGATACACAGCAAAAAATCTAGAGTCGTTAAACCGCATGATCTTGTCCTCCATTTGACTTTACCGTATCTTAAAATTAAACTTTGAACTCAACGTGTTCAGGTTTAGAAGTGAAACATGAGGCGGCGCGACCGTCTTGTTGGAAATAGTGATAGTCGCGTCGGTTTCATCAAATTTCGAAAAAATAAGTACGTCAACATCGCAATTCGAAAGAAATATGGCTCGATGATGCCGCAATATCCACAATCCGCACCAAATGGTAAATTGTTGGGCATGCAAAGCGATAATTTTGTTTGTTGACGAAGCCATTAAATCAGAAATGAGCTTCATCTGAGAAGATATTTTATCGATGAACCTGAATTTGTGAGTTTTTCGGAGAGTGTGAATTTGCGTAAGAATTTCGGACAATTTCGAGGAACAACAACGTGAACACACCAACAATGTTTGACACAAACCCGTAAAAAAAATGGTCGCCAAGAGCTATTCAAATCACGTCAAGCCTATTGGTAGATGCTGAACTTGTTAGGTTATGAACGAAATAATAAGACTTTTGATTATAACTAACGGCTAATCCAAGTAGAAGTACTTTTTTCAATAGCCATTTCGAGGCAGATCATGCGTGAATCGTGTCAAGCTATCATGTTTTGTTTGTTCAATATTGTTTGACATTTCATCATGGAAAGACTTACGCCTGAACACCGTTAACAAATCTTTCAACTTTATTACGAAAATTCACGTTCTGTAAAGAATGTGTTTCGCGCGCTTCGCTCAGCTTGTGGTCAATATAACACTGAGCGTACTATTCGCAATAGGATCACCCATCTTGAGACTCAACCTTCATTATTGGATATATTTTACTGAAAAAAGAAAATATAGCTGAGAGTGCACACGAAGACCGCGGAGATTCGATTCGACGCCGTTCGCAGCAACTCGGACTGACATATGGAACGACTTGATGTATTCTTCGTGGAGATCTTAAATTGAAAGCGTACAAAATACAGCTTGTGCAAGAATTGAAGCCGTTCGACTTTCCCAAGCGATATCGCTTCGCAATATGTGTTCTTAAAAAGTTGCAAAAAGATCCGACGTTTTTGAGCCAAATTTTGTTCAGCTATGAGCCTTATTTCTGGTTCAATGGATAGGTAAACAAGCAAAATTGCCGCTTTCGAAATGAAGATCAACCTGAAGAGATTTAAGATCTGCCATTTCATCCAGATAAAACAACGGTTTGATGTGATAACCGACTATTTGATGTCTGAAATTGGAGCTTGTGATCTTGGCGACTTTTGGTTTAAACCAGATAGCGCCACTTAACACACATCGCTTTAATCATTTATTGAGAGAATGCTTCGGTGAGCAGATAATTTCACGTTTTAAGCCGGTCGATTGGCCACCAAGATCTTGTGATATCACACCGTTAGTTTTTTCCAGTGACGTTATGAAAAGTCTAAGTTATATGCGGACAATCCCGCTTCGACTTCGGCCTTGAAGCAAAACATCACGCGCTCGAACGAGTCATCGAAAAGTGGACCCAACGGACGGACCATCTGGGACGTAGCCGCGGACAACATTTTAAAGAGATAATCCTCAAAAAATAAATGTCAAAGCTGTTACGCTGTTGTAATTGAAAATGTATATATGTATGTACATATTAACACCAAATTGTTCACTTAAAAAAAAAAAAAAAAACAAAAACGTTAATATATTTATAGATTTTTTATTACAATTACTAAACACTAATTGTTAATTTGCTACTAACTAAATTAGTACGTTTTCTTTGCTACAATCGCTCCAATATTTTTTGTATGTTTTTCGATTCTTATTATTTTTCGCACGTTTAAATTATGGTACAAGTAAATATATTACACATATAATAAACTGTGTTATATTTTATTATAAATT